CCAAGGTACATATATCATTTTTTAGCTTGTCTCTTTTTCTTGATGGAAGGCATTCATAATGCGAACTATTAACGCACGCCCATAGCAACGTAGGCTGGACTGATCAACGCCTCCACTGGAAATGTGTGGAGCATCTTCTAGTCCAACAAGGAGCTGTAACATGTATGGACGAATCTCAGTATTTCTAAGGCGTAGCTGTGGGTAGCTCAATCCAACCTTCCGTATGCATATATTTTTGTTACATCGAAAATATCTCTATTGTGGATGCCTTGTTCTTGTACCAAAATAGGTCTCCCACAGAAGGCATTCAAGACAGGCTCTGAAATCACGATTTCGGAAAAAGGATTTCAGTTTTAAAGTCAATTAGTGATGCACCCAGGATTTTGGGGTGGGGTTGGGTTCTCATACCAGAAGAGCTCATGATGCTTAAATCTCTTGTCCTCCCTCCCTCTGTACCATTTCGTCACAAGGGACTGTGATGTACATGCATGTCTATATCAGAGTTACAGGTAATAGTTTAAGATGTACACGTAGGTGTATATTCTTCATTTTTTCAGAAAGAAAGGAAATAAAATCAGAAACTCCTAGGGCTCAAGTCCTCTTAGAATGGCCCCCGCCCCCTTGCTTGGATGGGCCACAGCGGTTAAGCACACTTGAAGATAAGGCACCATGCAGACTGACCGTTTACCAGTGGTTTGGGATATGTTTTTTTTAGAATCACAATTCATACTAGGGAACCAGCATTGCATTGAAAACAAGCCTTACATGTGCATCCCTTGGCATTGTTTTCATAGATCGAGTCAGCTCCACTACTGTGCAGTAAACACTATCAGACTATGGCACAAAGGTACATGTAGATCACCAGGCTCCATGTATGATCGAGATATGCTGGGTATACATGTGCATATACACAGAGTGCACATTGTAATGTAGGTTTCATGTATGAAAGTAATATTTACGCTGTAAAGAAACCTTCCAAATCAGGCAGAGCCAAGTGTAGAATTTTGAGGATTAGGAATTCGGGCGGAAACAAGTTTTTATGAGGTGTAAACTGGCATATTCCAGAAGCCATAAATTTTAATGGAAAAAGGTCAAGCCACTTGCATGTAGACCAGGTGGGAGAAGGTCTTTGGCCTTGAGAAGCAGTTTCATCACTGACTGCCCATGAGACAGCATGTAGCTTTGTCTTAAAGGTGTAAGTTATTGGATTTTGCACTGCAGTTCTACTTCCTCAAACAAATGCAATATCCCCGCGGAGCCTTTTATTTGCATGTATGAACCTCAGGAGAGCAAAGAACACATGAAACACTAATGGTTTTTTATTTAATAAGGTCTAGTCTCCATGTGTGTGCTTACAATTAGCTGTAAAGCAATGACCACTTTGAAGAATATTCGTTAGAGCAGTTTTCAAAGCAAGCAAGTCTCCAAACAACTGCTTTGCTGGAGAGAGGAACTTGTGTCGGTACATGAGCACAGCACAAAAATTATGCCCCCGTAATTTCATTTTGAGAACAGAGGAAAGGGCTGCATTTGTTTAGACAGAGAAGATTAAGGTCCGTGCATGGGGGGGCGTAAGGGATGACAGAACACGCTGTACCAGACTTGGCTGCCGTGAATTACAATTTTTTTTGCAGCGCGTGTTGGCATATATGATGTACACTGCAGTTGCCGGGGGGGGACTGGAAAGTAGAGGTGACCTTTTCCTTTAGGGAACAAATTTAATGCAGGATTGGGGCGAAAGGGGGGGTTGAATTCTCCTGTGCTCTTTAGGACTTCAGTCTGATGGAGATGGCATGAAGTGATAATGAGTTATGTATCAAGACCTTCGGTAAAAAATATCAGATGCATGATTTTCCACCTAAACTGAGACATCTCCACCCCAGCTGAGACATACATGTACATTTATGTACATGTCAAGTATTCAAAGGTGGATAATTCCAGAAATTACGGGTCTAAAAGTGTGACACTTTTGTGTGCCTGTTACATCTGACCTTTGTTATTTGACATGGAAATATCACCCGAATTGATTTCAAACTATTACTATTTGTTTGGCAGGTAATTTGAATTAATTTATCACTCTTTGGTAATTAGTAAATGTTCTGAACTTACAAAATGATGTGTCAGATGTGACAGGGAGAAGAACAAAAATGGACCCCTAATTTCTGGAATTACCCTGATTGGTTTAAAACATGTTTGAGGGTCAAGTAAAATGTTGAGTCTGAGTTGCTGAATATTTTTTTTTAGTATGCAGAAGGACAGTAGTTTGAGTCATACCTGAGTACGCTTGAGTTTGGTTTTTGTATTTCACACAAATCATCAAGGAATCAGTTGGCATACTGCTCTGACATCGTGATGGGTAAATCCCAATATGAAAGAGATGTTAACGGATTAGTATTCAAATTGTTTCAGGAAATCTTTGAGAAATTGTTGGGCAAATCATTTTAATCTTGGCTTCACTTACAACATTGAGCCAAAACTTGAAATTGTCTCTGTGTGCTGTGTGTGAGATACGTTGCCCTGTTTGAAACATGGCAAAAGTGGTAATGTTGACCAGCAATATTCAGTTGTTGGAGTGAGAGTTAGAGAGATATTAGTCTGTTTTGTATGTTAGTGAACTACCAATGTTAATCTGCAGCCTGGATGTTCTTTGGATGTTCTTTACACCCATAATAACTGTGCTATATGTATTAATGGTACAAAATGTCACCAGTGACAGGTGTTACACCTTGCAATGAATCACTTTTACTGCTCTCCATTAGCTCAGTCAATGCCCTGACTTTCATCATCCCTAGTTTTCTGTCTGCTCTAGCTGTTTCATAATCTCGTGACAAAATGTGACTCTCAGAGCGCTTTGGGGGGAATGAGACAGCATGCTGTTATAAGTTTTTCTGATGATGCAAATAAACTGGAACATTTGGAGACTCTCCCGAGACTTTGACATGTCAACAGTAGCCATTAATGAATGAGTTACAAAAGCACATAACTGGGTGTAATCATGGACAGTATTGTTTGGCTGTTAACAGCTGAGATGGGGTGGAGCTTAAGTCTTTAGGAAAGCTGCACCAGTTTTTCACATGGGCAACGTCATCACTTGCATAGTATGACCTAGTTTTTGCCAAATCTTAAGCCAGCTCCCATGCCTTTTAACCTACATTTAGACTGCTGTTGACTTCTCTTCCTTTGCGAAGAGGCCAAAAAGGAAGGTGTTTGCTTTGGAGGTATTGTCATTGAGATCGTCGGTCATATGGAGAATTTCTTAATAGTCCTGTTTTGACTGTAAGGCTGTTATTATGTGTAGAAAGTGGAACTTCAAAGTCTTCAAGAAATGTCCTCTCATGTTTTGAGGATACTAGGCCTGTGGATCTTATTTAAGGGGTGTGAGTTCTTGGTGCATTGACAGATTACACATCAACCTGTTAAAGTCGGTAGATGAATCAGTCGTTAGTGCACTGTGCATGTACGCTTTTAATGTCCCTTTTCGGAGTATCACAGGTGAGTGGGTTGTCTGAGTTTCCTGGCTGTGTGTTTTAATAAACAGCACTTTGTCATGGGCAACTTACTGACCAGGATCCCTTTTCGTAGACCTACAAAGCACATACCAGTATGTTTGCCTAACCTAGAAAATATTTGCCTAGAAGGAACGGGTTACTGGACATGTGATGTATGTTTGCTTGTAACTGTAACCTTTAATTTTTCCAATGTGGATTCATTGGGCCTTATCCTCTGCTAAGCTATTCCTTAACTTCTTACCCAGGTTCTTGACATTTTTTACCATTGCCATACTGGGCAAATGCTAGGTAAAAAAAAAGTTTTTTTGGCTAATAAATACCAGTTTTTCAACCTCACACAGTACAAGTTAAAACCAGTGTGTTGCTGATTTGCAGCAAACAAGAGTATGGGTCCATTTTGCAAGTGCTGTTGTTTTTCTCATCAACTGTGTATTCAGTTCACCAAAGATTCCTTCTGTACTTGTGAAGTCATTAAATTGTAATTTGCAGGATCATGTTATTAAGGTGTTTTGTATTGCCTTTGCCATCAGTGGAAAAAGTACCATAGGAATTATCCATTTTTTTCATTATTCTTTGGAGTATAAAGATTATTCTTTTTTTCTGGACTCCTCCTATGAACAGTGATTTCTGTACTCAGTAACATCATCATCCATTTTGATTTTGTGGAAAGCTAACATGGCAGCCATTGTCCCACAGCATAGTTTGTACACTTGTGAAATGATAGGGAAAAAAAGACAACCCCCTTGTAAAGGTGTCTTCCCTTGCTCTTACTGAAATGTTAATGGTTTGAGTGAGGCACACTCAAGACCAATTAGACAGCGGGTGAACCGTACTAGTGGGACTGACTTGTTTCCTCATTCTGAATGGACTTTGGCATCATGAAATATTAAGTTGACAATTTGTCTTTACAGAATGTTTCAAATATGGACAAGTAGATTGATGCTTTTGGTATGTGTCAGACCCAAACCTTGATTGAAAGAAATACTTATTCGAATAGTCACCTCTACACTGCAGTTGTTTATTTTGAAAAATCGTGGGCTGTGAAAATTCCTGCGGTCATGATTGGTTGCTTGTAATGATGATGCCAAGCATAGCCACACCTTCTTGTCTTCAAGAATCTGATGAAGATACCATCTTTGGCAATCGTGCGAGTCGGGAGCTACATGTAGAAGCTATTTCCCCCGTGATCGTGCCCCATCAAGTCACATTCATTGGTGGCTCCGGGGTCAAGAAATGAACATGACATATGGCATGTTGAATTATTTATGAAACGGGAATGGATGATCCAGATCGTATCCACAGCTCCCGTGAAACTGTTACCAGATTGGAATCCAAGTTTGTTGAGGAATGCCACCAACCAGACATTGAGGGATAGAGATTGTGGAATTTGTTTTTTTTCTCTCCCTGATTGATTTTACAATATGGGAATGTTGTACAAGTCTGGATAGCTGAGCATTAACGATGGCTGTTTATCTGTCTTGTTCCCCACAGCATCCAATGCCAGCCATGGCAGGACAGCATCAGGTCCCTGGCCAAGTTCCTGGCCAGATTCCGGGTCAGTTGCCCGCGGGCCCGTACCCGCAGCAGCCACCCCAGTTTGCCCAGAATGGCCTGGAGGGTTACCAGCAGGCCGCACCACCCATCCAACCCCAGTACACGGCCACCGTGGTACCCCAGCCGGCCGATGCGCCAGCTGTCTATACCCAGCCCCAGGAGGGGCCGGGACCCCAGCCCGTCTACAGCCAACCCCAGCCCTCGGGTGAGGGGGCAGCAGTGGGCTTTGTACAAGGACCACCACCCGTTAGTGGGGAGCAAGCTGGTGCCACGCCCACATTCAGCCAGGTACTGGTCACCTCCTACGTAAGAATGTTTCAAATTTTTATTTTTGTTTTGTTTCTGTTGCATCTTTTTCTTTCTTTCATTTGTGTTCTTGTCCCTCCATTATTTCGGAATTATTATTGACCTTTTGATTTCTCCTTTAGTTTAAAAGCAAACTTGAAACATTTAAAATCCAACCCCAAGGCCAAAGAAATTTGACATCAAGTTAAAGTGTTATTCAAACTGTTGTCAATTCACAGCTTGAATGTTCGATTTGATGTCGCAAGTTTTCGTTCATGTTCACTTTCGTGACGTGTGCACGTACAATCCAACCATTAGTCTGAAATGAGCCGCATTTAATACACGTACCTATAAAAAGATTCATTCTTCATGTTTTCTCTAGCTCACTCCTTGGGCTTGCTTGTCCCTTAATTCCAGCCTAGGAGTAATGACTTCCCCTTCTGTGTCTCCCCACTTTAATTGAAATGGCAGGATTTAGGAGTGGCGGAGTCACGCACAGAAATTTATTGATGGAAATGGCCAACACAGCCTGGGTTTTGCCATGCTAGCATTTAGTTCACTTGCCATTTGAACAGCTCTGGAGAAACATGTGCCTACTGTTGGCTCCAGGATGGCATGATTGTGCATAAAGGATGGGCGCGTGATCCCGGTTACATGATGTGTACATTGTGGGCAGTGTGAATGTCGACTGTAGCCCACATTGCATCATGACGAAGACCAATTGGGGAAGTGCATGCACACAGTTTGTCACGTACAGGGGGCTGGATAAGTTATTGCATGAGTGTCAGTGAAGTATCCATACATGAATGTACATGTAATTCAAGTGCCTACTTCGGTGTGTGTCCTTTCTTCTTTCTACAACTTATATTGTAAGATTGTCGGAACAGTGAAGGGTTGTTGTGAAGCATTTATCTGCCGATGTTGAAAGTCTGGTGTTATTACCTTTATCCCTGCTCATTGGACCTATAAGTTCATTCCAGAACCATCTCATTTCATAGCAGAGTATAAACTGGACGCTGCCATTTTGGCAGGATCACACTTTAACTCAAATAGCTTCAGCACACCACCTGTTATCTCTTGTTGTAGTCTCGTAGCGATTGACAAGCTGTCCTACCTATGGACAACACAACCGCACAGACAGGACTTGAACCACCAGTCTGTTGTGTTCCTTCGCAAGGTGCCAAGTTCGAGGAAATCCAACCTACAGGGTTGCGGCAATTCCCCTGTCCCCAATGTTATCCTAGCTTCAGTCTGCCCACCATTACATTGATTCGCTAGACCATGATTATCCTATCACCTTCGCTTCACTTTGGACGGACCCTCGTCACGTCCTCACATCTGATGCCCCTCATTTGCTTGGCTGGCAACATCCATCACCGGTACCCAACACCCACCCGTCACCTCACGATTGATCATGAATATGTGGATGCGCTACACATGTAGCTACACACCAGTGTTGCCATTGATGGTTGCCAAAGTACTGGCAATGTAATATTTATTTGTGATTATATGTGGGAGGGCTTGGCATAGGGGAAAATTAGAAGAACAGTGGATTGAACTGATGATCATTTGCCAGTGTTGCCAATTTCTTCCAGCCATTGGTGACTGAAGCCGTCAAAATCTGAAAAGCTTCACCTGTCAACAAATCTGATAGAGCACTAAAAAGTTTATTATTCAACTTCAGACCTTGTGCACATTCCAAAAGTTGGTTACACCAGGGACAGTAGAGGGTCTGTCGTTACACAAGCCTACTTGGGTGCAACTCCAAGCCACCATCTTACCTTTAACGAGCGTTGAAGTCTAACAGCTTGGCTGTTGAGCTTGCCAGGGCCAGCCATGTACATGTACCATGTAGTTTGAAGTCAGTGACCAGGTTCTCACTTCAGTTGTATCTACTAATGTCATCAGTCATTGATTTTTGGCTCTGGGATACCCACTTCTTCACCTTAATGCATAAAACATAGCACATGTGAATAGAACCAAAAGATCTAGCTTGCCTTTGGTACCATTTTGATGTCTTCTTGGCTTATGATAAGATGCTATGTTCCAACTTCTGCACAAACCAAAGTTTCCTTTATATTTGTTTCAATAAGACCAACAGTTACAGAATAAAAAGTTGGTTTATGGGCCATGTTCCCATAGTATGCAGCTATCTGCTCTGCATACATTATTTCATGCACATTCACAGTTAGAATAGCTGTTTACCCTTTCACAGAAGGGAGCCATTTGTCAGCCATAATATGGAGCCATAATATTCACATGATACAGCCCATTCTTCCCGGTGTTCTTTCCACAAATGCACAGACACTGCCTCGTTATCAAATCTGATTTGATACACACGGCCTGCCGAATGAACATCCCTTGATCTTTGGACCATAATCAACAGTCTAGTCGTCCGTCATAGGCGTCACGGCTGTTCTCCCAAGAAAATTGGATTGGAGCCGGATGTGTCAGAATAGCCAGTTTGCAAAAGGCAAATTCTCTTTTTGTCCAAGTTTCTTTGGGCACTAATGAGATCTGCACCATTTCCTGATTGAAGTGCCCAAATGAATATGATAATGATGCACTGTCCCATTGTCTCATTTGTGTAGCTATTAACAAGAAGACCAGAAATCTGTCACACATGAACTAGCAATTACAATCATTTCCTTGATAATTGGAACCTTGGTAGTCCAGTGTAGGTGAATCTAAAGTTTTGAGTTCTTGAAGTTCATGCATGGATTTAATTTTGAAATGCAGTGCTCGTTTAAGGTATGAAGGTAATCCGTCTGCCCTTTGAGGCTATTCTTTTTCTCACTCAGTTAGTAGACCCATTTGCTTTTAAAAACTAGAACAGCTTCTACTCTACCTTTGCAAAAATTTTCCATTTTGGTGTTCAGGGTTTTAACGTACTAAATGGACAAAGAGGGTCAATGAAATTTAATCCAGCACTCTTAAAAGATCTTTTTTGAATATTTGGAATGGCTCCTGGAAACTGCCTACAAACTAGAATAACCAGTGGTATCAATCTTACAGGATCAGGAAAAAATTACTCTTCGTCAGTTCCAAGATCGTCTTTTCAGAGATTAGTAAAAGCAGTCGACTTGATAAGATTTAACAAGATCAGCCAACAAAGCAAGCGCTCAATATTGTCTTGCCCCATTTGCCTGGCTTTACTGATCTTTTATTAGATAATGCATTTGTTTGTCTTCCTTCTGCGAAGGTTTTACTGCCCTCCTTCCTCGCCCTAGTTTTTAGATGATCTTTCAGTCCTCTCTGTCATGGAACCTTTAGATAACTTGCCGCCCCTGCTACATGTAAGTGCTGCTACCCAGCTGAACTTCATTTGCAGGCAATGAATGGCTTTCTGGAAAAGAAGAAAAATAAGTTAAGGCCCAGTTCCATTGTAGAGAAAAACATTTATTGAGAAAAAGGGGATGTGTTGTTATTGTTTGCATTTACCATAGATGATTGTAGTAGCTTCATTCATATGCTGGATTAGGCCTACTGCTACTTCATTGGTGTTTGTCATAATCTTTCTTTATAGTGTGAATTTATATCTTGGGCTTTATTGCCCAAATGGGGCCATTTCAAAAGATTTTATTTCAAATTATCAAAATGACGTCTACAAAAATCTCCACATTAAAGAGGAACTTAATGGTTGGGATTGCATTTTTGTTTTTGTTTTGGTCAAAGTTCACTTGCATTTCAGTTCCCAGATCCTTACTTTTTGCCTTTAAGTAGCCAATTATTTGAATGGAAAAATGTTGAATCCTTTCATTAAAGGATGGGGAGTTCATCTTTATAGTTCTGTTCGAGGCCGCAGCCCCAGGGGCTTGTGAGCGTAGGGGACAAGACCTGATGATGTTGTCCCCACTCCCTAGGATGAAGTATGAATGCAGCTCAGGTAGAGTAGGAAGGATGTGGTCATGATATCTCCTGAATCGATTCTGACTGATTCAACTGACTGATCGTTTGTAATAGTGCTTTCGGAGGTTTTGCATAATTAACCCGATTTTTTTTCCATGCCTGCGAGGCAGTTTCAGCCCATTTTTTATGAAAGCATGTCACAAGACGGAGGGCTCTCTTGCCTTCCCTGAGGTGTGATGTTTGCTTCTGAGAGACATGCGCTTGGATTCAGATGTTGATAATTGGAAGATGCTGTCGCGAACATTGAAGTGTCAACAGCAGACTTTGGGAGTCCTCAGGAACAGAAACATTTCTCCAGGTGTCTGAATAAAAAGCCATGTTTAAAAGTGTGTTGCACTCAGTAGTCCTCTGTAAGATACAAACATCTTGGAATTACTTTGTACTCCCTTGAAAGAGGAGAAAAATTGTAGTGTCCACAGTTACAGTGTCGGTGAAATGCATGCTGCATCACTATTATTCCAAAGAACTCGCCTTGCTCTGAAATCACCTTGAGCTGTGTACTGAGATTTGAGCAGGTTGTTTATTTGTCTTTTGGAACAGAGAGAAATGTGAAATGCTGATGGGAGACGGATATTGGAAGGAAATCGTGACCAGGCATTGTAGAGTTGTGTTTGGTTCTGTGCCAAGTGTGGTGTGTGTAGGCCTACATCAGCACAGACTGTTGCAGTTTGCTGGAACACTCTGCCTGTCCAAAGTCCCAAGTTGCTCCTGAGTTTGAGACTCAAGCAATTTCAAACAGGAGTGATCCCCAAAATCTTAAGATGACCCTGTTTCATAATATTACTGTCCCATTCGGTAAAAGAATTGATGGCATAAATTGTGCAGCCCCAGTTTCTGATTCAGAATGAAAATTGGAAGGATCATGCGCTTGGCTGTTTCTTTAAGTCATCATTCTGTCGTCATTTGGAGAAAAAAAATTCAATGGAAAATGTAAGATGTGTGAGTGAGAATTCCATCATTGCTCATTTGTAGTATAAGGGAAGGCGACCTCCTGCTCAGCTGTCTGTTTAATTAGTGGTTTGTTCTCTGGCAACAGACAGCAGACTGGGGTTTGCATGGAATCATTTATCGCTCCAAGTTTTTGGAGTTTTTATTTCCCTAAGACAAGTCTG